AAAAGCAAACTAATCATTTTCAAGGACAAACAACAGAGTCTGCACCATTTATTCAAGAAATATCAGCAAAAGAAGAACTTATTAAATTTGAATTAGAAATGCAAGAATCAAAATTAACCTCTGATATAGAAAAATTAGAAGCAGCCAAGTTGTTGATTAGGAAAAATGAAAAAGATGAAGCTAAAGTGTGTATGGGACACAAAATTACACCATCAGATTTAATATCAATTATGGAAAGAGAAGCTACAGTGTGGAATGATTTTCCTAATTTAATGAGACTGTTAACTTTACGTGTGATTGTTCCTTCCTCTGCAGCATCTGTGGAAAGATTATTTTCTTAGATGAATTTAGTCTGTACCAAACTCAGATGCAGCATTTCACAGAAGTATTTAAATTGTCATCTGAACATAATTTTCAATGGATCCAAATTATTATCTGATGAACAGGCTCAAAACATAATTACTATCTTTAAAAATACTGAAAATCGCAAAATATCTCTGTCATTGATATAATTTTATCTATGTATTCTGTATTTCTATTATTTTTTCAACCATTAATTCAAAAGTAAAAGTTAAACACAATATCAAAATAATAATTTCTTAATCATAATAGGTTCAGTAAATTTTATTAGTAAATAAGTTAAAAAAAAATTTTAAACTTTATATAAATCTAATTTTTAACGTTAATATTAATCTGTTTAGTAAATTCCGTAATTTCTATGCTGGCTGGCTGTATAATTTACATTGAATTAATAAATGGAATTAATCTGCAGGCTGTCTTATAAGCAATTCCTTGCGCAATATGTGCATGTTTTTTACAGTATTGTACTTTTTGTATACATACAGTTGCGCTCACGTACTTAAGGACTGTGATTTCAAAATAAATGTGTCATTATTTTGGTTGAATATTATGTTTTAATCAAGATATCTATAATGACGAATTCTACCTTAGTTGACCTTCAATCCTCAAATAATTCATTCGTGTTCACAAGTGTTTCATAAAAGTTTATTTGAAAAATATAGTATTTTGTTAAGTTTCTTATACTTAAAGACAGTTTGTCTAATCATGAGTCATTGAATGATTACAATCAATTTATCGATCAATGTAAGTGTAATTTACTACATTATCTTCTGGATGCTTTAAAACATTATATAAATTTTTTTCTTCTTTTTTTTTAGTACAAATTTCGACATTATTATGAGTAAGGGAAAAAATGTTAGCAATGAACAGAGATGTCGAATAGATACTCGGAGAAAAGAAGGTTTAAGCATTATAGAAATTGGTAGGCGGTTAAAATTATCAAACACAGCATTTTTCCGAGCATTGAAATCTATTCAAATGACCAAAAGTATTGAATAAGCATCCCGAAAACCACGTCCTCGCAAACCTACCGAACGAGAAGATTGAATTATTCATCGAATTTCTGAAGCTGATCGTCACAAAACCGCCCCGGACATCAGAAACGAATTCGCTGAATTAACAGGCATGCACGTAAGCAATAATACCATCAAACGGCGTTTAAATGAGTTTCGGCTTATGGGTCGCGTATGTAGGAAAAAACCGTTGATGTCAAAGAAGAATATAGCAGCTCGATTAGCTTTTGCAAAGAGGCACCGAAACTGGACATCGGCTGACTGGAATCGAGTTATATTTACAGACGAATCGAAGTTCAATAGAATGGGCTCAGATGGCAAAAGTTATGTGAGGCGTCGAGTCGGTGAAGAATTTAATGTACGGTGTGCAAAATCTACTGTAAAAGGTGGAGGCGGCTCGGTGATGGTGTGGGATGCCATGACATGTTCACGATGTGGTCCAATTCACAAAATCGAAGGCATCATGGATCAGCATGTGTATGTGGTCATTATCAAGACTGTTTTTCTGCCTTATTACAGGAAACTTCGCTCAAGAAAACCAATCATGCAAACCGATAATGATCCAAAGCACACAAGCAAAACTGCGAAGGCCTTCTTGTCAAGCAAGAAAATTGAGGTTTTGCAGTGGCCTTCCCAATCACCAGATCTCAACCTGATCGAGATGCTGTGGATAGATGTGGATAAATATGTGAAACAGCAAAAACCAAAAAAATTAGGTGATTTATGAAAATTTGTCAAAGAAGGCTGGGCAGCTATACCTCCTCAGCGATGTCAAAGATTAGTAGATTCGATGCCTCGTAGATGTGAAGCAGTAATTGCCACAAAAGGCTTACCGACTAAATACTAGCTCCAAATCTTTATTTTTTGTTACATTTTTTACATTGTTATTAATTTTATTAACGATTAAGAAATATTTATTTTGTTGTCCTTAGGTGTGCGGAATGCATATTTTTTGTAAAATGTTACATAATTTAAGTATAACAGTTAGGTAAATGATTTTCATTGTGAAAATATATTAAAAATAAGTTATTTGTTCCAATACATAATTATCAATTCAATAAACTTATGCGTGAACATTAAATTTTGGATTTTACTTTTCATAAAGACATGTCCAAAATACGTAAGCGCCACTGTATGTAGTTTTTTTTTTTTTTTTTTNTTTTTTTTTTTTTTTTTTTTTTTTTTTTTTTTTTTTTTTTTTTTTTTTGTAGCAATACTAAATTTTCAAAAAAAGAAAAAAAAATTTCACAAAAATAGGTATTAGGATTGAAAACCTGGATTAAGCCCTGTTTACCCCTTTCAGGGATGTGGTGATTCTTTCACGGATTCGCGAATTTCTGCTTTATTTCAGATTTTTCCATCTTCCCGCTGAAATTTTTTTTTTGCCCAAGTTAAAATATTTTGTGAGGAATTTAATTTTCCCCGGAGCAAAAGTATTGAAGTCCTCATTTCTTACTCTGAAGTTTCTCTAAAAATCATTTCCTTGGGATAAAACTGGTTGACCTTTATACAGGGCTGAGATTTTTTCGCTTTTGCCTCTCCAATTTCAGCCTTTTTATCAATAACTCTCTAAAAGTTTCGCTTCAAAAAAAAAAAAATTTAAAAAAAAAAAAAAAAAAAAAAATTTATATAAATATAAAAATTTTTTAAAAAAAAAAAAAATTTAAAAAAAAAAAAAAATTTATAAATATCATTTTTTTTTNTTTTTTTTTTTTTTTTTTTTTGAAAATTCAGTTGTTGAAATAAAATAATTATATTTATTTACGATTTTCAAAGATCAGAAAATTGAAACTGCATCCTATCTGCTATCCCTTCCGTATTTTTACTTATTTTAGCTATTTTCTCTTTTACGCACAGAAAATAAGATTTTCCGTATTTTTATTCTTCCGCCGGATAGCTCGTATTTTCACAATTCAGACATCGTGACCCTGTTGTCTGGCATGAAAGCAAACGAAAAAAAATAGAGGTGGATTTGCGGTGAAAATATTTATTTGTTCATTCAATTAATCTTGTACATTTTATTTATTATGTCTAAACAAAAAAAAATATAAACAAGCCTTTTAGAAATCCCAAGTCCAGACTCTGCTAATATCTCGATTCTTATTCGCTCGATTTTAATATCAATCATTAATTTTCGTATTTACCTGATTTAAAAGTTGCGCATTGCGATTCTTATTTATTCCATTTAAACATCGTACATTATGATTCTTATTTACAAGATTTATAACTACAATATCGCGTTTTGTATTTATGCATTTTTAAAATCTCGATTTTATTATCAAACATCGATTTTCGTATTTACCTGATTTAAAAGTGGAATGTTGCGATTTTTATTCAGGTGATTTAAATATCGTACATTGCGATTCTTGTTTACGAGATTTAAAAATCCAATATCACAATTTGTATTTACGCGCTTTCAAAACCCTACACAGCGATTTGTTGTCATGCCAGCTTAAAATCCAATTTCATGATTCGTTTTTGCGGTTGTAATATCAAACATCGATTTTCCTATTTATACATGCTTTGAAAATTAGACATTGGGATTCGTATTCGCATGATTTAAAAATTATGCATCGTGATTCGTATTTACGTGATCTAAAAATTACGCATCATGATTTGTATTTTCGCATTTTTTAAAATTTGATATGGAGTTTCATATTCCCGTGATTTAAAAGCCTCATATTGGGATTCATATTCTCTCAATTTAAAATCATGCATGTGATTCATATTCATACAATTTTAAAATTAATCATCGGGATTTATAATCACATGGTTTACAAGTTCAGGGGTGATTGTGCTCCGGAAAAAATCCGGATTTCCGGAATTTTTGCTAACAGTGATCTGGAAGTTTCCGGAGATCGAAGGTCCAGACGTTTCAAAATATCATTTATCACAGAAGTTTCCTGAAATCAAATTTTCAAAGGTGGAACTTAAAAACACAGTTTATTTTATTTGTTTGTAAGGGAGAGCCAGAGAGATACTTTATAAGCTTATATTCATGATTAATATTCATTTTTTATCAGTAAATAGTTGTTATAATCATAAACTCAAGAAAGAAAGACATATTTGTAAATTTTAATTGCTTCTCCAGGTCATCCTAGCTATGTGTAAATGTTATAGGTATGTGTAAAATTTTTAATATATTTTAAGTAAACTAAGAAATATAGGAAAAAAACCTTGTTTAAATTTTTTTCAATTTAAACTGTTTTTTTGTTTTTTTTAACTCAAGAAATTTTCCGGAATTTTGACTTAGGCTCACAATCACCCCTGCAAGTTTAAAAATTGCACTTTTTTTGTCAAATTTTTGTGTATATATTGTATATTCATTCTTGGATTTCCTCTTTTTTACTTTCTGACTACTCTCATCCCTGCCCTTTGTTAGAAGTAGTACATAATAGGTATTAATCGTATGTAATAAATCTTTTTTACAATGTATGTATGAGATAAGATGAAATCCGGTTAACACGAAATAATTATAATAGTCCCCTCAATTTTGTGTTAACGAGGTTCGACTGTAACTGTATAGTTTTATTTGTTGCTAATTCTATAGTTCTTTTGTCAATTCTTAAAGACTTAGTTTCTCTTTTAAAATTCAAAGTGTAAACTTGTGTAATTTTTATTTTGCAGTCATGCGCACAAGAGGAAGCCTTCGAGTCGTGCTTAATACTAAAGTCTGGGCCGGAATGTCTGTTGAGCATCCAAGTGTAAAAACAGTCAGATTGACAGCTTATGATCCTCAGGGCGTTAAAGTGTTTCTTGTTATGGTAAGAATAATTAAGACTTAAATATTTTTTTTAACCACTAGTTCAATGTTTGTGGATGGTTTTCTGATTTGCTTATAAAATTCCATTTTTTCCCCATATTTGGATCTATAATGAATTCCATTTATTATAATTCAAAAATTTCAATTTGCAGTGTATTTTTTTTTTTCTTTATCTCTTTAATAATTTGCCACTGACTCAGCTTTGCAATTTCTGCCATATTGAAAACTGCTAAAACTTCTGTGAAAATCCTCTAGCAAAAAAAATCAATAAAATCGTGTTAGCCTTTGTTTTTTTTTATTTGATTTAAGCTTTCTATTTAAGCATTCTAATTAATTTTCGATTGTATTATTTTTTGTAAGAGTTTAAAAAAGGTAAAAAAAATTTTTATTTTTATTTATTTTAAAAAAATATTTTCTAAAGAATACCTGGGAAATATGATTTACGTTTCTAGTTATCAATTTTTTATTTTCTTTCCTCACTGCCATTTTTTGTTTGTGTATTTGGTTATTTGCTATTGAAAACTTGCTAAAATTGTATTTTTTTGTTTGTTTTTTCTTTTTTTTTTGTTAAATGTCATCTAAGTCACATTGAAAAATGTTAAATTATGAAAAGAATACATTCTTTAAGCACTGTGTGAAACTATATTTTGATTCGACCAGTCAGTTAAAAGAAAAAAATGTGAAGGGAATAACTTCGATTCTAAGAAGAAAAAAAAATTTCGATTTTGTCGTATAAACAATTATGAAGCAAAATCAATATTTACAGTAAAATTAGTTCCTGATTTTTAGCAATCAGATATTTTTAGAAAACCATTATTTTTTTTTACTATTTTCTTTTCCCTATTTTTCAGATTTTTTTTCTTGATTAAACTGAGGGACTTTCAATGAATTAGTTCATTCAGTTCATATTTTGATTTGGTGTATATAAAAATATAAATTTGAAAATTATGTTTAGTGAAGAGAACTTAATGAACTCTGATAAACAAACCATAACTCATGTAAAGGAAGATTTTTATATGTCCTGCCAGCCATTTAATTCTGTTTGTGTTTCAGTTTTAAAAATAAATATAGAATCCTTAAAAATGTTGAGTATTTTCATTTTAAAAGCAACAACCTTTGCTTAATTGAAATAGGAAATTTTTTTTTGCTATAAAAAGCCAAAGCCGCTACACATCATTTTTTAATGGAGACTGTCGTTAAGTAGAGAGCCATTAAACAAAGATTGAACTGTGTATAGTATAGGCGGTCTTTACAGTACTCTCTGTTTATATATTCAAAACTGTATATTAATTTTTTAAACTTAAATTTGTATCAATGTATGCATTAAAAAAAAAATCAAGTATTTTACATTTATTTTATTTTTTTACTATTTTTCAAGGCTCAACCAAATGATACAGAACAGTTGTACCAGGCCCTCAATTGGAGAGTGACTTCTTTGAAGGCACAAGAAGGAAGCGAAGGCAGGCAATCCAGGGTAGAAGAAGCCACTAGTTCTTCCAATCTACCTGATGGCTCTGCATTTGATGATAGCACTCACAGTCCACCTAGTAAACTCCACGCTACAGATCCTGGAGATTATGGAGCGGATAGCAGCTCAGAGACAAACTTTGTCATTCACCATGAATCCTCACGTGAAGCGGCATTAGGTGGAAATGCTGATTCTACTGACGTTCAGTCATGAGTGTTACTCTAAAACTTATAATCTGACTCAAAACCTCTTATTGGTTTAGTTGCCATGCCAGTGTGGTCACTTTTTTTTTATGTGTTGAAAGTGTGATTGTGCTGTTTTCAGTGAACTGACAGATGCAGCATTTTAGACACACGGGTAGACATTAACAAATCATACGAACTATATTGTTTGTTGTCTTCTGTGAATTAGAACTTGCCTTTATAGATTTATAAATTACTGAGACTTGAATAAACAGATCACCACTGTTATCTACTTATGGGCACAGCCAGTCAACTTTAAAGGAACCCTTCCCCCTCAATTTTTTGGAGAGAGAGCTTGTAACAAGTTTATATTAAGTAAATGTACAATTTTTAAGAAATGCGACAATAAAAGACAAATTTTTATTTCAGTTTTTTTTTCTTTTTGCAAAATTTTATAAAATAACAGTAGTTTCTCGATTATTCAGATCTCTTTCATTCAAAAGATCCTGTTTAATTTAAGTCTTAAGTTTTAATTTTTATGTGCATCCGCTTAGTTTTTTTCATTTCCCTTTATTTTTCAGTTATACCTTACCCTTACCTTTTTTTTGTCATTCTATATTCATATTTTTTTTCTATATTCCTTTAAAATAAGATTTGTTTCTTATGCTTTTGTGGTTGAACGTAAAATTTATTTAATATATGTTATTTGATTGATGCATATTTGTTTAAAAAGTAAAATATTTTCATATCTTATTTGACAAAAAAGATATCAAGGATATTGAATGGCTAATTATTATTATTGAAAGGAACTCAATTTTTAGAGTTTGATGAATTTAAATTATTAAGCAATTTATTTCTATTATTACTGATCTGAATTTGTAAACTAGCCAAAGCTTGTCTGGTCCAGATTACATTTGATACTCGAGGTTCTACTGTATTTGTTCTTTAATCATTACGTATTTTTTGATGAAATAAAGATTATTTAAACTTTTTTAGACTAATTATCCTGTTCAATTAAGAACATTTAATGATATTACAGAATATGAAATTGTGCAAAAAATATGTTAAATTCTTATTTTTTCCATTGCTTTGTAAATAGTTTTGAATGATTTAACTGTATTGAGCAATACCTTATGAGGAATACTTATTATTCAGTAGTGTTGTGTGTGTTATTCGAAGTTATATTATTTTTTTGTAATTCAAAATAATTTAAGAGATTTAAAATTTTAAATTTAATTTTTTAAGTGAAGGAAATATAATTTATAGTGACAAATGTATTGAAGATCTTATGTTTCAAATAATATCAAAAGTGTTATCTTAAAATATTGAAAATTTCAGCTTTTACACGTGTGTATGCATAAAGTGTTTAGTAATAATCACCATTAATATTTAAATGCTTAGAATCCTTTTCAGACTGTTTGATTTCTGTTTTAATAGAGAGTTTCATCGGGTCATCAAATTAGTTGCAATGTTTTTAGTCTCGCTTTTCTCTGTGGTCATTCAAAAGTTTTTTTCTCATGTTTAAATACTATTTTGTGACCCTTAATATATCTAATTTTTAGATTTTATTTTGATAAGGATTCTAAAAATATGTATTAAGGACCGATTCCAAAACACTAAAACAAGGGCCCGAAATTTCCTCTGGTCACTGAAACCATTGGTGATTAAATATTTAGGGTTGTTGAGTAAGTTTTTGTCTTGTAAAATATTGTCTTTCAATACATACTATCATTTTCCCCAGTGTTAGCATTTACTAGCAAACTCTTGAGAGATTTTTCAAAGCATTACAGTTCGAGTTCAAATACTGACACTATTTGAGTTTCATTGCACATGGGTGATGATTTCCCCTCAAATCGACATTTTGCTAAGGGGTTGAAAATAAGTTTAGCACTATGGTTAACATAATTGAAGCTGTATGCTAGATCTCTTTAATATTGGAGCATAACTTTGTCGAACCTTTGCAGAACTCAAAATTCGTTAGAATAATTTGCTAAGAATTTTTTAAATAGGTGCCTCCATCTAATATAATTTGACCCTTGCAACTTGTATTTTAATCCCAAAAGTCAGTGGTATACTAACTTGAAAGTATGAGAATATTTCTGATATTTTCCTTATTTTTAAACTTTTAATGTTATATGGATGATATTGGAATCATTATAACTTTATGGAAACCTTATTTTAAATTAATAATTTTAGCAAAAATATTTTCTAATTTTTCTACATCCTTTTATGGTTTTGGTCACCATAGATTCTTCATACTGTTAACATTGTTTACATTTTTGTCGAAATAGTGGCAAACAAAAATTTTAATCTAGTTAGTACATTTAGAACTGAAATTTCATGCCCTGGTTTAAAGTGTTAAGAATAGCTAGTGCTAGACAGACCACTACTGTAATTTAGTTAAAGGCACAAGCATTAATTTTATTCCCTTGCCCTGAATTTGTTCAAGAAACCTGTGACAATTCCTCATAAGTTCATTAAAAAAAGGAAGAGAAGAAAAGTAATTTATCTTGTCTGAAAAATTCATTTAGTTTTTCTACTGAATTTATTAAAATTAATTCTAACTTATGCACAACAAATATTTTGATATTTATACCTAATTTTTTAATTTAAGATTAGTAAAGAACATGTTTAATTGCAGCAACAAAAAGCTTTTTTTTCTTCCTTTTACTGATACCAACAACTGCATATTCATTTTTAAATAAGGAAAGCTTTGAAAATTCACTTATCTGTTTAATGTCCTTTTATTTTATTGTATATATTTTTTTAAAAAGTTATTAATGCCCTCTTGTTTATTCTGCATTTTTGTTAGAAAGATATCTTTTTTTTCTTCTTGAGACAAATTCATTGTATACCAGCAATCTATCCAATAATTGAATTAACTCTGATTGTTCATTTATCTTAAAACTGTTTTGATATAATTAAACTTGTGGAACATTAATTAAGTTTTTTTATTTTTAAATTGCATCAATTAAACTATTTATTTGAGAATTTCATATTGTACTGTTGTGTATGTCATTTAAAGTTATATTATTTTCATAATTTTGAAACATTAGCTGAAATATCCTCATTGAGTCATTACTGCATTAAATATTGTTCCGATTTTCATCCTTGAGGTGTCATTTGCAATAGATATGAACTGAGTAACATCACATAATTTGTTATGTACTATTAAATGTGTTATTTTCTGTGAAAATAACGAATTACTTCTATTTTTCTCTGGAAGGAAGTTATTGTTTTTGAATGTATTTCAAGTTATTTACTTTAACAATAAGGCATAATAATAATAAAAATTATTTACAGAATTTGGTATCATTTACTGTTATCAATTCTATTCATTTGCTTTTTTGAAAATTACTCTTAGTTTTGCAAGCCTCCATAGTATTTGATTATCAAAGATGAATTATAATAAACCTTGAACTGGTTCCGCCAATTCACTTGAAAATTATTCTTGTCCACCGAAACTATTAAAATTTCCTTGCAATGTAAATTCTTTTGTTTTGATACTTCAGCGATGCCAAGTCTGTCATTGTTCTTACCTCAGAGAGTGATTACTCGGTAGCAAAGGGTTCTCTCCTCTGTGCTGATTCTTTGCCTTCTCTGTTTCCAAGTCAGTTTGATCTAGAGCAGTGGTTTCCAACTGGGAAGCTTTTTTTTGTGGCCCGCGAACTAAAATATATTGTCATTTTTTTGCGGACAATTTTCGTAAAAAATCTATATGGGTTTAAAATACTTTTCTCGTTAATAAAAATCTAATTTCTTCATTGCTGTGAAATTTATCATACCTACGGGGCAAAAAAAATTATTTCTCAGGTTTTGCATTTAAGAAAATATTTATTTAAATACAGAAATAATCGTGTATGTTGCTCTTTGTTATTTAATTTTTTTTGTATTTTGTGAATATAATTTAGCATATGTGTATCACAAAATTTTCTCAAAGAAATTCTCAGATTTAACTTTTTGAAGTCACTCATTTTGGACGAAAATATTTACACACACATTTGTAAATTTAAAATGTAAATATCTATTCTCTGGTGGTTGCAGCAGACAAACCTCAATTTTGTCATTGAACATTTTGTGTGCTACTATGTAAGTTTTAATACCAACCTTTTTAAAGTTTTGTATCTTAACAATTAGATATCTGTTGCACATTAATTGTTTAATACATGGGTGCACATTAAAGTTATTGTAGCCCAAATTTTTAAATATGAAATTAAATATTTTTTAAAATCTACTTCTTATTTTAATTTGTAATTCAATACTTTTGTTTTGTACAATTTGGTAAAAATCTGACAGTAATATTTAATGTTCCTTCAAACATAAAAGAGTCCTACATAAAATTTTGATAATGTTGCAGCCCGCCATTTGATTTGTGTTCTTAATTGTGGCCCCCGACCTCATGTATGTTGGAAACCCCTGATCTAGAGGCTGTGTGCGTTTTCTCGATACTATTTATTTTTGAGTAATTTCTACACTTACGCTAGGTCTATTTCAATTTCATCAACATAGGTACAAGATGAGAGGAAACATGATGGGCTGTTTAATTCTTTTAGAGTTGATTCTATCTTTAGTTTTACGTCAGCTAAATTAACTATGTAAGGAATACATAGAAATATTTCTGTGGGGGGAATTTTTTTATAAAATTTAAAGCTCGTAAATAATAGTGTCCTAAACAGTTCCTAATGCAGATAATTTTATTCAGAAATATTAAAAAAAATATATATTAATTAATATTTTAATATATTTAAAAAAAACTGGGCAATATAATTTGAAATTGTGCTAATACATAATGCAAATATTAAATTTTTTTTCTAAAGTTTTTGAACAATTTGAAAAAACCATTGAAATTTTTGAAAAAAAAGGTAAAGGATAAAATTTCGATTGTTTGTGTAATATGTACAGGGTATCTGTGCACCTGCAAAGTCATGAATAGGACTGGGCGATGTAAGAAATTTTATATCGTGATACATCGTCTGTTAGACATTGCAATTTAGCATATGTTCAAAAATTATCAAACAGAAATCTTTAAATTAATCAAAAATAAAAGGTATAAATCCATAACAAAATGTGTTATGTAAAAACAGACCCAAGCTTTATTTGAATTTTTTTTAAAAAAATTAAAAGTGACTTAAGATTTATTGTTTTAAAAATAATAATAATAAAACTAACAAAATATTTTACATACATGCATTGAAAATTAAAAGAAAAAAAAACGAAAGTAAAGAAACAAACTAAAGAAATGTTCACTTTAGTCAAACATTTTTAAAATTATTTGTAGAAAAAAACCGTGATTTTGAAGCATTGTTAGACATTCTTTAATTTATTTATTTAAAATAATAAAGTTGTATTAACTCATGGTCTAATTCTATACTTAATGAATGTAAAAATAAATTTAAGTTTTTTTTTAGTTATTTATTATTATTTTCTTTTTGAAAATAAAATTGACAAAGGATTGAAAAAGGATTTATTTGTTTAAAAATGATATTGTTTGTCTAACAAATCATAAAACAAACAAGTATTGAAAGAATTTTAAGAAAAATTAAAAGAAAAAAGTACTTTTAAGTACTAATGTTAAATTATTAAAAAGCGTCAAAACATTGCTTAACTTTTTATTCAATTAAAAAAAACATTTGTTTTGACTAATAGCCAAATTTTTTTATAATTAAAAACGATTTAAGATTTATTTGCTTGAAAATAATCAAATTATTATACTTACGTTCATTGAATAAATTTGAAAAAAAAAAAAACTTTTTATAACAAAGTTAAATACAAAATACCCTAAATAAATTGTATCGCTTAAAATGAAAAACAATAGTTAAAAAAAAAAACAGAATGAAGAATCTTTTTTTTTTAATTCATGTTTTCTTTTCATTAATAGATTGAGTTCAGAACGAAAATATAAGGTAACAGCAATTCCGCAAACGATCGCCAAGTAACAGAAGGTCTACTAAAAATAATTGACGAGAATCGTTAAATCCCGACTGAGGAGAGAGAGAGAAAAAAGTAACGAGATAATGCACAATGAAACGATCGCCGAAAATAATCTACAAGACACGTTAAATCCCGATGAAATAAAGTGCACAGCGATCACAAAATAACGTAAGTCCAGCAGTGGCGTAGCTAGGTAACCAAGGGCCCTGGGGCAAATTAAAAAATGGTGCCCCACTGCTATGTAAACTGATTAGGTTTTATCAAATAAAAATATGAAATATACAAATACTTTAAAAATGCTAAGCTACTTAAGCTCTTTTTTGTGCACTGCAGGGCAGGTAATAAAAATATTAAACAGTAACAACATAAATTACAATTAATACTTGGTGTAGGTATGGCTAATAAAACGAAATAGAGAAGATTCAAGGGTTTATTACATAAAGGTCGGGCCTACCAACTGACTAAATAACAATTATATTTACAATTTTTTCCTAGCTTTAGTTTTCGCAAAAGTATCAATAGCTTCGTTTAAATCCAGGCTTGATGTGGTTTTGTTTTCAATTGCTATTAGCGATAAATGTCGGAGTCGAGTTTGGCCCATATTATTTCTTAAATAATTTTTTATTATTTTTAATTTACTAAATGACCTTTCAGTTGCTGCAGAAGTGACAGGAATTGTAAAGAATAATAACATTGCTGTAAATACTTCCGTTAGGTCGCATTCTAGCACTCCATGTTTGCTCATTATTTCCTTACATAATTGGTGAACAGTCCATGCAGGGCCGTAACTACGCCGGGGCCCGGACTGTCAAGGGGGCCCCATATGAAGAGACCACATCATGTTTTTTCAAAATACAGTACTCTAATTATATATATGTAGGAAAGAAATTATGTTAAGATAGAGTTGCTGAAAGTTTTCTTTTTTGTAATTACGTACCTACTAAAACATAAAGGAAAGGGTAAAAAACGGTATAACAGCTTTTTGCGAATTATTTCCCTTTCTCATAAGAACAAACACGCTTTGCAGAGAAGGGGAAAGGCCACAGCTGCATGTAGTTGATTGTTAACACTTTCTGTACATTGCCCTTCTGATTTACATTGTTTCCTCTACTATCTAGCGTCAGACCCAGTGGCGTGCCACCCAGGGGGAGGCAGAGGGCTCCTCTAAAATTTACGTGATGGGGCAAACGATGCGTTTCGCCCCTCCTGAAATTTAGACACTCACAAAAATAAAGTAAAATCGGTAATTTAAAAAAAAAAAATTCAATTTTGAAGCTATTTTTAATAAGAAAACTTTATATTCCACTGACATTTATGTGCTTTGCCTCTTCTGATATTTAGTTATTAGCCAAGACGAAGTCCATTAAAATAGGTAATTTTAGAGAAGAAGAAAAAAAGCTATTCTTTTTCAGCTTTGAAGTTTTACATCAAGTGGGAAACTTTATTTTGTTATGGGCGATTAATGCGTTTTTTGACTTTTGGAAAAGTAAAGTGAAAGTGGAAAAAATATTTTAACTCCAATTTTCACTCTATTTTCTTCCGAAATAGTAATGAGGGGGCGAACATAGTGTTTCGCCCCTTTTGAAATTTCAAAGTGCTAAAAAATAATTGAAATTGGTAACTAAAAAAAATTTCATCTTTGAATCTATTTTCCAAATAGAAAACTTTATTTTCTTCTGAAATAAAAGTGAAGGGGTGGGGAATTTGCTTCTCATCTTCTGAAATTTAGACATTAACATTTAATAGAATAAAATCAAGTAAAGTAAGAAATTTTAGAAGAAGAAAATTGTTTTGTTTCATAACTTCGACGATATTTTCCAAATAGAGAACTTAATTTTCCTCTTAAATTATAGTAAGGAGGTAGGAAACTTTATTTTCTTCTGAGATAAAGTAAGGGGGGCCAAAATGTGTTTTGTATCTTCTGAAATTTAGACATTTGAAATAATAAAGTCTAGTAATTTAAAAAAAAAAAAAAAAAGCTTTGAATTTATTTTCCAAAAAGAAAATTTTATTTTCCCCTTAAATCAAAGTGAGGGGGCGAAGAATATACTTCGCCCTTTCTGAAATTCAGACATTCGCAGGAATAAAGTCAAGTAAAATTTATATTTAACTCTTATTTTCGACTTTAAAGCTATTTTCCAAATCAAAAACTTTATTTTCCTCTAAAATTTAATTGAGATGGAAGATAATGTGCGCCACCCCTTCTGAAAATTTGACATTCGCTACAATAAAGTAAAGTAGAATTGAGAATTTTAGAAAAAGAAACTACTTTTTTTCCAATTTACTAGCTATTTTCCAAATTGAAGTAGAAATTGGTATTTTATGATTAGCATTATATTTAGAGGAAAAGGAGGCTACTGTGGACATGGGGGAC